TTGGTTCAGATTGTTGTTGTTGTTGTTGTTTTTTTTTTTAACCTTTTGTCTTAAATGTCTGTGATGAAACAGCCACACGTCCAGCGAGTACTCTGACTGGACGGCAGACGCCGGCATCAACCTTCAGCCCTCCACGCCCTTGTCGTCAAGGAAGAAACGAGTGCAGCGCCGACTGAGCACCACTGAGGAGGAGGAAGAGGAGAACGAGGAAGAGGAGGACAAGCAGCACCACCAGCAGAGTGACGAGGAGGAAAAACCTGTGAAGAAATCCAAGGGGAAGTCCAAGAAGGAGAAGAACAAGTCTCCCCGGGTGAGATGTGGCTCAGAGGGACGTTTTTTTCTCTTCTGTCTCTGTGACAAACTTTATCTCATGTTCTGTTTCTGTCATGGTGAAAATCAGCGTCCAAAGGCCCGGCCGTCCATCAACAGGGAAGTGTCCAACGAGTTCAGACCCTCACCGTGGATCACTGATGTCATCCCCAGGAAATCTCCCTTCGTTCCTCAAATGGGTGATGAGGTAAAAAAAAAATTGAAATATGTTTTTAGAGAAGAGTTGTATAGTTTTACAGATGTCACTTCTTAAACAGTTGGTTTGATCAGTCCATGAGAAAAAAAAATGGACTGTTTGTGTTTTCACTGTCAGACTTATTTCTGTGTGTGTGGTCAGGTGATCTACTTTCGTCAGGGACACGAGGCCTACGTGGACGCAGTCAGTCGAAATGATCTGTATCCCATCAACTTAGACAAACAGCCCTGGAAGAAAACAGAACTGAGGGTAAGATGAGTTCAACTTCATCCTCACACTTTTGGGTCTCAGGGGTTAATAACCTGACCCACCTGTGAACTTCTAGGACCAAGAGTTTGTGAAGATCACAGGGATCAAATATGAAGTCTGCCCCCCCACTCTGTGCTGTCTGAAACTCACTCTGATTGACCACGGCACCAGGAAAATAACCGACAAGTCCTTTTCTGTCAAGTAAGCAGCTCACTGGTGGTTTATCACATTTACAGTTTCACTGAAAGCTCTTTATATTGATATATATATTTAAAAAAAAAGGATAATAAAAAATGTGATGTGTTCCACAGGTATCACGACATGCCAGATGTTATCGATTTCCTGGTGTTGAGACAGAGTTATGACGAAGCTCTTCGTAGAAACTGGCAACCAAGTAGGTTTTTACACAATTAGAAAAGTCTGTATTTCCACAGATGATTCTGCCGTTATATTTGGATGTTTTCCCTTGGTCTAGATGACAGGTTTCGCTCGGTCATTGACGACGCCTGGTGGTTTGGGACCATCGTCTGTCAGGAGCCGTACCAGCTGGAATATCCTGACAGTCTGTTCCAGTGTTTTAAAGTCAGGTGAGAGAAAACACACACCATCTGTGACAACACACACGCAGTCACATGAGTAAATGTTCTGTATGAAGTCAACATGTTGACCAACCTAACACCAGCTTTTGTAAACCACCAGGTGGGACAACGGGGAAACAGAGAAACTGAGTCCCTGGGACATGGAGCCTATTCCAGATGATGGTATTTGGTTTCATTCTTTATTCACTGACAAACAACATCAGACTGAACTCAGTGGAGACACTGACACACAAGTGTGACTGACACGAACCCTCTCTCCCGTGCAGCCGAGCAGCCGGAGACAGAAGGGGGCGGTATACCGGTGACGGCAGAGGAGATGAGTGAGCTGATGTACAAACCTGTGTCAGGAGAGTGGGGAGAGAGGAGCAGGGACGAGGAGTGTGAACGCATCATGTCTGGCATCGACCAGCTCATCACCGTCGGTGGGTCCACACACACACACACACACACACATCTGTCCTTTTAAAGTTGTGTTTCTGTGTTCGGTTCTTTTTCAAGATGAAATATAATCCTTTAACATGATGTGATTTCAGTCAATTTCATCTGAATTTGGTAACAGTTAACGTTAACTGTCTCATATTTTTTGACAGAAATTGCTGCTCCATTCTCTGGTCCCGTGGACCTGGTCCAGTATCCCACCTACTGCACTGTCATCGCCTATCCCACCGACCTGGGAACCATCAAACTGCGACTCTTGCACAGATTCTACAGGTGAGAATCTGGCCTTTTTTTTTTTTTTTTTCCTTTTCCTTTTCTCTTCTTTACTACAGGAAGTCTGACTTTCTGATTAACCCTTGATCCTCCACAGACGCCTCTCAGCATTAATTTGGGATGCCAGATATATTGCACATAACGCCCGTACGTTCAATGAGCCGAGGAGCAAGATCGCCCACTCTGCAAAGATCATCACCAACGTTCTGCAGAAATTCGTCAAGTAAGTTAGAAAAAGGCGTCGGTCTTTGTCTTCCAGTTTCACATCATCGCAGCATAAACAAAAAAAAAATCCCACGTTTGTTATTTTCTCAGTAATCCAAGCTGCACAGATATCATGGAGATTTATAACGCGGTGGAAGAGATGGATGATGATGAAGAGGTGGGTTTTTATTAGTCAACTCACCGTGTCGTCCTGTTTATCTGAAGTTTTTATGATTAATTAATGATGAAGGAAACATTTCATTCATTCATTTTTTTTGTTATTACATGTTTTTTTTTCTACTGTATTAAATAAAAAATCCTCACTTTTAATCCTGACCAGGATGAAGACACTGAAGCACCAGGAACCTCAGCCGGGCAACGGTTGCGGCAGGTAAACAAAACGTTCAAGTCAAATGTATTTATTTTTGGAGAGTGTCACTGATCCAGTAGAAGCAGAGCATCCTGGGTGATCGTGACAAAAGATTTTGTTCTCTCCTCGTGACGTGGCAGCGTTCTGTAGAGGTGCTGCCAGACAGAGACGCCTGGAAGGAAAAGTGCAAGAATCTGCTGAACTACATCTTTGAGTGCGAGGACTCCGAGCCCTTCAGACAACCTGTGGACCCTCAGAACTATCCAGTGAGTCATCACCGCACGCCAAGGCTCGGCTTACGACACATCAGCTAACGCCGAACATTAGCATTGGGTGTTTCTGATGGTGCTGATTAAAAATGAAGTCTAACGTGCTTTTTTTTGTGTCTCTGCGCCAAGGACTATCATGACATCATCCACACGCCCATGGACTTTGGCTCAGTGAAAAGAACCCTGGAGGAAGACCACTACGAAAACCCCATAGAACTTTGCAAAGATGCTCGTCTGATATTTGCCAATGCTAAAGCCTATACACCCAATAAACGCTCCAAGGTGGGTGGGGTGTAGTCTCAGACGTCTGAAGGGTAGATTGAAAAACTACATTTTAATTCCTGACATTTTTTTTTCCTTCATTCCTGTTGTAGATTTACAGCATGACACTGCGTCTTTCTGCCTTCTTCGAGGAGAAATTCAGAACAATCATATCCGAGTACAAAACTGCTGTGAAGAGCAGTGACAGGCTGCGCCGCAGTCAGAGATTCAGGAAGAAACTACAGCAGCAGGATCAGCCCACTGCCACAACACGGTCCGTACTCCTGTAATTCTTTCATTGTACACTAGGTGTACAATGACATTACAAGTAATCTCTTATATTTAAAACATCTCTTATACTTAAAAAAAATGTTTGCAGCCAAAAGAAGGCTGCAGTCAAAACTCAGGAAAAAGTGGAGGTGATCTCAGTGACCAAATCTACCTCAGCCAAAGTGTCTGCTCCTGAACGAGCCAGGAGGAGTCGGAGCAGCAGCTCAGGTCACAGCTCCTCAGAGGACGAGTCCAAAGCTGCTTCTACATCAGGTAAAAAAAAAAAAAAAAAGGGGCCGATGGTCTTCATATGACGTGTATGTTCTAGAGGAAAAAGTGTCAAACATTTCAAATTCAGATATACATACATAATCTGCCATTAAGAATGAAGTATAAACTTGAGTTGTTTCTGTGTTTTCTTCAGTGTGTGTAAATGACAGATGGTACGTTTTTTGTGACGTCCATGTAAAACTGATCTGTTTGGCCATGTTCAATTATCAATAATTCTTAGATAGTTCATGAAAAATACCCATGGACACGATATCCATGGTAACGGCTGACTTGACACTTCCATGTGTGTTTTCATCCAGAGTCTGAGAGCGAGAGTGAGCGAAGTGAATCAGACGAGGAGAAACAACAAAGTTCCTCGAAACACCATCAAAGTAGACAAAAGTCACGAGTGACCAGAAGCAAATGTGCCAAGAAAAGGAGAAAAGGTTGGTTTCATTTGATGGAGAATCTCCGATGAACTGATTTTTAAATTGTGTCAGATGCCTAAAAAGTTAAAGTTTTTTTTATTGTCAGTTCCAGAGAGCGATAGTGAAGAAGAGGCGGAGGATGAAGAGCTTGACAGTGAAGGTGAGGAGAGCGAGGATGGAGAAGTGTCCTCCTTGTCCTCAGGGCCCAGCCGCAGGAGTGAGAAGAGGAGGAGTAACTGGTCGACCAGGAACAGTGTGGCTGCAGACAGGAAGAAGACGGGTAAACACAGTTTAATGATTTAAACCCTTTCATGTTTGTGTCAAATCCCCAGCGGGTTGGTCACTTCACCGTCTGTTTTCAGAGAGCAGAGTGGAGATGAACGGTCACAGCAGCCGGTCGTCTCGCAGGGAGAGACGTAAACGGTGGGACACTGACAGACCGACGTCCCAGGGCTCGGACCGGGGGGAGGGCGAAGTCAACGGCCGCGGGTCACTCAAGAGAAAGACGGCCAGGGCCGCTGTAGACAGGATCAAACTCCTCGAAGTGTCGGACGACGACGACGAAGAAAAAGTGGAGGCAGTGCCAAAAAGGACCAGTAGTCGACAGGCGGCGCGAGCTGGCAAACGCAGCGCTGTGATCCAGAGTAGCTCTGATTCTGACGGAGAGAATTCATCACAGGGTGAGCAGAAACGATCACACATTTCTATTTCACAAACATCATAATCTCTGATAAAAAACATTTTAGTCACTAGGCAGCCCAACTACAAAAGTACATGAAGCAAAAAATAGGTTTTTATGATCTTTTCTTCTTTTTTTCTGCAATACAGAACCACAAATTACAAAGAAATCGGACCACTCAAAGGATGAGGAAGATGAGAGTGACACTGATGCGTCATCGTCGTCCCAGAATCGTCAGGGTAAAAACAACACGTCCAACAAACTAGGGACACCAAAGAAAGCTGCTGCCACAAAGGGAAATGGTCAGCACTGTTTTTATTTGTTTGTTAATGATTTAACGTTAATTTCTTTGACTCTGAGAAAATGTTATGTTGATCTAACGTTGCTAATTTCTTTGACTCTGAGAAAATGTTATCATCTCTTCATCATTGCAGAAACTCAGTCCCACGTAAATGGACATGGTGCAAAACACAGGACTGGCAGCAGCTCTGACCAGGAGGAAAGTGTGGACGAGAGCTCTGCAGAAGCTGGAGAACAAGTTTCTCAGAAACGTTCAAGAAGCACAGTAACTACATCAGCCAGGAGTAAAAGGATCACAAGTGATGAAGATGATGAGGAGGAGGAGGAAGAGGAGGACAGTGAACCCAGGACTACAAGAGAGAAATCTCCTTTGAACTCTGATGAAGAGGACAAAGACGAAGGTTTTCAGAAACCCTATCACAATGGGAAAAAGGTGGACAAAAGCACCGTGAAAAACTCTAACAAAAAAAGCAAAGCTTCTCCGTCAAAAAGCCAAGATACACAAAAATCTGCCTCAAATAAAAAACTCAATGGTGCAGAATCAGATGAACGTTGTGATTCTCCACGGAGACCACGGAGTCGACAGAGAAGGAACGTAAGAGATGAAGAATCGGATCAGGAAAGCCATCACTCCAGAGAAGAATTCAGGTCGACACGAAACAGGATCCAATCCAAAAGGACTCGTGGAGAGTCTTCTACCTCTGAGAGTTCTGAGCAGGTATACAAACCCAAGAGTAAGTCTCGGAGGAAACGTTCCACCGGTTCATCAGAGGAGGAGTCGGATGATTCGGACTACGCCTCGAGTAAAAGGCGAAATCTGCGAACGCTTCCAAAAAAGAAATATATCAGCGACAATTCTCTCTCAGAGGAAGACTCTGCTTCTGTCAGTCTGAACAAACAGAGGAATAACAACAAAACAGCCAGAGTTTCAAGGTCAGACAGAAGCAGCAGACCTTCTCCTGCTGAGACCAGTAATCACCTGCAGTCTTCCAAGAGAAAACGCATTTACAACTCTGACTCCGACAATGGGGTAGAGGAAGGAAAGAGGAAGAAGACGACAACGGTGTCATCAAACAGTAAAAACACAAGCTCACCGAAAGTTCCCCAAAAAGAGTCTAAACGTGGGGGCGCTAAAAGCATTAAGAAGAACGACACTTCCCAGTCTGATTCTGAGGAGCAGGACAAAGATGTCAGTTTTTCAAAAAGAGGGAAAAACGCAAGGCAGCCAAAACACAAACAGAAGGAGAAACGCAGCAGTACCAGCAGTGACAGCAGTTCTGACTCAGACAGCGAGAAGTCGTCGTCAGCCTCTGCCAGCTCAGGGTCCCACAGCAGTCCAAAGAGGAGAAGTCACAGAAAGTCTGGCATCGGCCAAAGGACTTCCAGTCATCAGCTCAGGCAGCGCCGCAAGCACTCTGCCTCAGACGAGGAGGAAGAGGAGGAGGAGGAGGACGGGGGGAAAGACAGCGACGAATCTTACAGCAAATCCCGGCGAAAGACACGTGTGAACACCCGGAACCGGGGGAAGCGTACGGTGAACTATCAGTACAGCGAATGAAGGACGTAGCTGCTTTGGGACAGTAACTGGAGATCTTAATGACAGTCAGTAGCCATGTTATGGTAGTAGCACTGGAGTCCTCGAGAGTAAATGCTGTGAATCTGTTTCATTCAGGGATATTTATATTTTCTATGAAAAAAAAAAAGAATTATGTTTATAGATAAAATACACATTCAAGCATTTGAACCTGGCTTTCACAAATGCAGATGCAGAGCAGGACACCACAGCCCACACTGCTTATTGTGATTTGGCCAGCAGAGGAGCCGATTGTGGGGGGGCAGTGGGGTGGGGTGGGGTCTTTGTCAGCTTGGGTGCTATCTAATATACCTCTGTTTAATCAAGCATATTGCTGGCTTGCACTAAGATACACTGTAATGAGGTATTTCTTTCATACACTAGATTTTGCATTAGAAACTCAGGGGTCAAATAAGTTTACTGTAGTCTCAGACATGCAGTTTTGTTTTTGTGTTTTTTCTTTTCTTTTTTCTTTTCCTTTTTGATCCAAGAGGAGAAACAGACTTGACTGCAGCACTCCTTTTCTAAACCCACCCACACATACAGCTCAACTGTATTGTTCTGATATGAGCCAAATGAACCTGTATGTTTATTTCCAACCCCCATTTGTTTCATCTTTTCATTGGTTTTGTGTTTTCTAGCAATTAGTTGTAAATATTTAATTGGATTAAATTGAAAGGCCTGATTTGTCAGTAGCAATGCATTATTTAAATATAAGGTTTTTTTTGGTTTTTTTTCTTTAACTTTGACTGCATTGTCTTGCCATATGTCACAAATTGGTACCTGTTTTGCCCAGTACACATAACCAAGAGTATTGGCTGCAAAATGCTGTGATTTCTCATATTGGGAAGACGTTATTGTCCTGTTTCCTATTTTTCAGTATTAATTTTTTTTTTCCAGAGTTGTCTTAAACGTATTGCCAGTCTTTATGGTTTAGTTTTGTTGATGGGGAGGTTTCCAAATAGTTGCTTTATGACGTTTTGCAAAATGTTTTTCATACTACACCTTTAATAAACAGAATTGGCAGAAAATCTATCAACAAATGTGGTTGTGGAGTGAAGTGGATGACTAACAGCACCTATCAATAAAGTCACAATTTCAAGTTGTATTGTGTGGAGTTTGATATCACATAATACAACATTTTGGATTTTTTTTTATTTTTTATTTAAATGTTTTATTAATTTATTTTATTATTATTATTTGATAATTGGCAATCCTTTTTGCACTTGTTATTTTAAATCGTTTAACTTGGATTTTTCCTAGGTTGCCCCTTTTATGTGACGTCACTAAAAGGATGTAGTATCCGTACTGTGCAGCACTTTCGACATACCTAGATTTCTTGAAATTACAAACGGAACACTTTTAAACATACTCACGGTCACACCGAATTCTTAACCAACATTGGGACCGTAATTCATTATTATTTTTATTTTTGCTCTATTTCAGATGTACATTATTTATGAGGACGTTCTTGACGAAAGTACCGCCTGCACAAGACGCACAGATTTACTTGAACGGCTAGCCGGTGAGCTAACATGTGAGCGATGTGTTTACTCCTGTAAACATGTACACGGCGTTCGTGCCGAGTTAACAACTTGTCTTTAACTTTCAACCTGTTGTTTGTTTAAAAACATTCATTCGACAGGTACGTCCCCAACTTCCTGCTAAGTGTTGAAGGTAATGTGTAGCATGCCCTCCGTTAGCCTCTGGAAGCTGCATTAAGAAGCCAACAGACTGAGGACAACATGTCACCCTGGACATGGAGGCTGTTTCACCTAGTGAAACACAGAAGTTTGTGGATGAGGGTCCGCAGAAATGTCACCACTTGGTCTTCCGTGGGGACTGCTTTCAACGCCAAACCTGCCAAGAGACTGGACATGTTCGAGAAGAGCGTGGTATGTACTCGACACAAGTGTGTCCTTTCACTGCTTAAGTACATATAGCTTATAGATAGACATTCGTTTATACGTAATAATATTTCAACGTTTAATGTTTCATTCAAAATAGTAATATGTTTTTATTGTTTCACAGTGGGTGTGTCGATATCAGTTTATGAACTGTTGGTTTTCTTCAAAGCTCGTGATGTAAACACTAGTTAAAAAACAGCACTATGTTTAACCCCATCTGTAAGAAATATTTTCTTACATTAACTTATTAAAAGGGTAATGTTGAAATTCCGATGAAGATAAAGTAAGAGCCAGTTACCTTTCAATGTGACAGTATCAAGACTTTTGCGGTTCGACTTTATTGTTTTGTAATAAACTCTGGAAAAGTATATTTTTTCTTCTTCTTCTTCCCTTCCTTAACATGTGACCTGTGACCCACAGGGCCTGTTTGGAGTACCAGAGCTGAGCTGTCCTTCTGGGTTTCAGGCGGCCACAAAGGCTGCTTTAAAAAACACTGAGCTCCTGGTCCACAAAGCTTGTTCCTGTCCACCAGGTGCTGAGACTGTGGAGTCTTTTGACCAACTGTCTGATGGTTTGTGTAAAGTTGCAGACCTGGTGAGTCGCACACTTCTGCCGTTTGAACAGAATATACTCCTTAATAATAATAATGTATTTAACTCAGTTGTTATTAACGTGTTGTCTCTTCTTTATTTTCCAGGCTGACTTTGTCAAAGTAGCTCATCCTGATCCAGCTTTTAGAGAAGCTGCAGAAAGAACCTGTATAGAGATTGGCACAGTCGTGGAAAAGTAAGAGGCAACACATTTGTATCGACTTTTTTTTAAAGGTCATCAATAGGGATGTAGTGATGAACACGTGTTGTCAACACTTCTTATATCTTCTTTTTGGTTATTTTCGAGACGCATTCTGACAAATGTTGATGATTCTGTGGGAAACTGTGGGTTTCAGGCTGAACACCAATGTTGAGCTGTGTAAAAGTCTGAAGGAATTGCTGGACAACCCAGAAATTGTTGCTCAGCTGGATCCTGACACAAGGTCAGTCTCCTATGATTGGGTTGATTATCACTTTTTATTAAAAAACAAAACAAAAAAAACCCTTTTACTTGGTCATAATTGTAACATGTTGTGATGTATCGTTCCCTCCTCAGACGTGTAGCGGAGTTGTTCATGTTTGACTTTGAGATCAGCGGAATTCACCTGGAAGACAAACTGGTGAGTTAAATCATTTCACCATCATCTTTCTTTTTAAACAATCGCAAAATAAAACCGTGCACACATTGAAAGCATCAGCACACGAATGTCAAATTCTCCTGGTCCCACACCTGGTATTTTTTAAGACAACACAACTGCCTGGTAACAGAATTTTGTTGTTGTTGTTTTTTTTCCCGGCAGAGAAAAGAAGCTGTTGAGCTGCACGTGAAGCTGTTGGACCTCAGCAATGAGTTTCTGGTCGGGTCCCACATGCCCAACAGAATAGCCAGGTCTGTGATACCTGAACATCTGCACGTGCACTTTGCAAGTGAGGGCAGCTTCATCCAAGTCGGCGGATTTCACGCAGATACTCCTGATGACTTGGTATGTCCCATAATGCATCTGGGATCACAAACTGTATGCAATTGTTTCACGCCATATATATATATTTATATACAGTATATATATAAATAAATGCTTTTGATGTAAACTAGTAATAAGTGAATTATTTATTCTTTACACATAAGACTGAGGAATCGAGATATGAAAACTCCCTCCTCATGGG